TTGCACGTGAACTGTAATTTGGCTCAATGCAGCAAACCCTAATGATGTTATGTCTTTCTTGCAGGTCCCAAAGGGAAAAAAAAACAAACAACAATCCTCCAGATGCAAAAAAAAGAACACTTTTTACCTTGATAATTGGCACATAATAACAGATGCAAATCCTCGAAGAGTTTTCATGGAACATTAAAATTGAAATTGGAAATGAACTCACATTCTGTCCTCGTCCATCCATGTAGGTGCTACAGTCAAGAAAGCACACCAACACCTCTACTTCCTCAGAAAGCTAAGGAAGTTCAGCATGTCCATAATGACACATCAATTTTTATAGCTGCACCATAGAAAGTGTCCTATCTGGATGCATCACAGCTTGATATGCAATTGCTCTGCCCAAGACCTCAAGGAGTTACAGAGAGTTGTGAACACAGCCCATTCCATCACAAAAACCAGCTTTCCATCCATTGACTCCATCTATACGTCCCGCTGCCTCAGGAAAGCAGCCAACATAATCAAAGACCCCTCCCAACCTGCTTGCATTCCACTGGGCAGAAGATATGAAAGTTTGAAAACACGTACCAACAGACTTAAGAACAGCTTCTTCCCCGCTGTTATCAGACTTATGAACAGACCTCTCAAATATTAGATAAAAACCAAAAGAACTGCGGATGCTGTAAATCAGGAACAAAAACAGAAGTTGCTGGAAATGGTCAGGAGATCTGGCAGCATCTGTGAAGAAAATCTCAGAGTTAACATTATCTCTGATTTGTTTCTTCACAGATGCTGCCAGACCTGCTGAGCTTTTCCAGTAACTTCTGTTTCTGTTCTCAAATATTAGAGGTGATCTTTCTCTGTACCTTCTATGTAGCTGTAACACTATATCCTGCATTCTGTTCTATTACCCTGATGTACTTAAGTATGGTATGATTTGTTTGGATAGCATGCAAAACAGCACCTTTTCACTGTATCTCGGCATACATGGCAATACAATATCAAATCAAATCAAAATTCCTCTGATAGGAGCAAATCCTTCAAAAACCACACTAATTGCCCTGCTTTTATAGTCAGGAAACAGCAGCTATCTTTTAAAGGCATTATGAATACTGGCATTTCTGATTTGCATGACTCAAATATCTAGCTGCAAGCCAAGCAATTGATCTCTCACAGCCGAAGATATCAAAACTGCCCTCTTTGCAATAAAAGCTCTCTTGCCTATAATTCTATTTAAATTGATTGTCTTTAATATATACTTTGCTGCTACGTACCTTGATCCAAACAATATTGACCTGGTGCAGATGTGCTTACATCTCATGACTTACTTACTCATTGCCACTGAGAATATTGTTGCTTCACCATTCTCTATGAATCATCAGTCAGTTGCCCTGTTCTCTCAGCAGCTGCCACATTGGCTAGCTACCTAATATGCAGCTCTTAGCTAAACATTATTTTTTGACTGCTTTATAGCTGTTATGAATACCAACCCTGCATTCTGAGCTCATGTAAGAAACTCGTCACAAATCCCTTTGCTGATGTTTCGCCTCTTTTTCTTCCTTTACTGTGCTGGAGAGCATGTACTAGACAAAGATTTCATTCTGTCCCATACCGTCAGTACGTCCTACACCGTCAGGTACGGCACTTTCCAAACATGGTGCCAGGGATGAAAATACTTCAGTCTGCTGTATTTACAGGTTAATGTGAGTTTTTATATTGCATAGATCACACCAGCTTCAAATACATCCTCAGTCCACACCACACTGCAGTGTCCCAAGAATGTGACTGGTCTGCACAACATCGGTAAAAGATAGATAGAACGTATAATATCAGGATGTCAAGAAAAAGTCTTGGGGCCTGGTTGGTTGCATATGCTTCTATGTGAATTCCTATAGGATAATATGATTAACAATAAATCATATATGCAAGATATAAAGTCATAGACTCGGGAAGGTGATGGCCTGGTGGTATTATTGCTGGACTGTTAATCCAGAGATCCAGATAATGTTCTGGGGACCTGGGTTTAAATCCTGTCACAGCAGATGGTGGAACTTGACTTCAATAGAAAAAGTCTGAAGTAAAAGTCTAGTGATGACCGTGAATCCGTGCTGATTGTCAGGAAAAACCTATCTGGTTCACTAATGCCCTTTAGGGAAGGAAACTGCCATCCTTACCTGGTCTGGCCTACGTGTGACTCCAGACCCACAGCAATGTGGTTGACTTTTAACTGCCCTCTGGGATGGGCAATAAACGCCAGCTTAGCCCGCAGCACCCTCATCCTGTGAATGAATAGAAACAGACCCTTTGGTCCAACTCATCCATGCTGACCAGGTTTTCCAAACTAAACTAGTCCCATTTGCCTGGATTTAGCCCATAACCCTCTAAACCCTTCCTATTCCTGCATCTGTGCAAATGTCTCTTAAATGTTGTAACTGTACCTGTCCCTACCAGTTCCTCTAGCAACTCATTCCATACACGCACCACAATCAGTATAAAAAAGTTGCCCCTTCTAAATCTTTCCCCTCTCACTTTAAATCTATACCCTCTGGTTTTGGACTCCCATATCATTGGGAAAAGACCTTTGCTATTCACCCTATCTATGCCTCTCATGATTTTATAAACACCTACAAGGTCACCCCTCAACATCCTACAGAGCAGTGAAAGAAGTCCCAGCCTATCCAAACTCTCCTTATAACTCAAAACCCCCAGTCCCAGTAACATCCTTGTAAATCTCTGCTGCACCCTTTCTAGTGTAATAACATCCTTCCTATAGCAGGGTGACCAGAACTGTATGCAGGACTCCAAAAGTGGCCTCACCAGCGTCCTGTACAGCTGTACCATGACTTCACACCTCCGATAATCAATTTATTAGACCCTATTTAACGCAAGGTCAGACAGCCAGCAAGAGCCCTGCATCGCCTGTTTCTTGGGAAGTCTCGTCACACCTTGTTCCATTCAGAATGCATCAGGCCAGCGATGGCCTTTCTCCGTCAGACCCACAGACCACCCCGTCCAGCACTGCCAGCAATCAGAGGCCGGGGGAAGACAGTGACTGTAGCACAACACATGTGGAATCGCTTCTCTCACTGGAATTCAGGCCAGAAGTGAATGGTAGGAGGTTGGATTTTCAGGTTAGGGACAAAGATGGTGGGCTTACCAGAAAGGGCAAGGGCAGGGTTGTTCTCAGTGGGCCTTCCCTTTCTGACGCTGGGCTTTGTGCTCAGGTATTGAATGCCTTTGCGCTATGGACATGAGGTGCTCTGTTGCTCCAAGACTAGTTTTCCTTCCATCAAGATCTTCCTGAATCAGCTCTAGATGTTGCTGTAGTGGAGTCAGCCCTGTATTTAAGACTGGGAAACCTGCCAGTAAAATATATACCCTCATTACACATCAGTCCCGCTTCAACAGGAAAAGGCAGAAGGTAGTTATGCTCAGAAATGTGTCATAGGAATATATAGCACAGAAACAGACCCTTCGATCCAACTTGCCCATGCTGACCAGATATCCTAAATTAGTCTAGTCCCAGTTGCCAGCATTTGGCTCATATCCGTCTAAACCCTTCCTATTCATATACCCATCCAGATGCCCTTTTAAATGTTGTAATTGTACCAGCCTTCACCCCTTCCTCTGGCAGCTCATTGCATACACGCACCACCCTCTGTGTGAAAAAGTTGCCCCTCATCTCCCTTTTAAACCTTTCCCCTCTCACCTTATACCTATGTTCTCTAGTTTTGGATTCCCTTCCCCAGGGAAAAGACTTTGACTATTCACCCTATCCATGCCCGTTATGATTTTATAACCCTCTATAAGGTCACCTCTCAGCCTCCGACATTCCAGGGAAATTAGCCCAAGCTTATTCAGCCTCTCCCTTTAGCTCAAATCCTCCAGCCCTTTCCAGAAATTTCTGTTTTTGTTTCTGATTTACATCATCTGGAGTTCTTTTGGTTTTTAAGTCATGCGGTTAGACAGATACGAAGTTGGCTAATGTTTTAATCCTCATTGACAACTTGAAAACTTAACATCATATGCACCATAATGAACTTGGGACGAAAGTTCTAATTGTGGCTGTTTTCGTAATGATTAGCGACTGAATTTTGAACAAACCCCTCTGACTAAGCTCAGCCAAAACAGAGCTATGTCATTTCTGTCAAGACCATAAATGTGTGGTGAAGAGTTTCTGTGGGTAACCATATTCAGATCTTTTATTGGCCATTGAGAGAAAAATGTATGATAATGGCGTGCTCATGGTCTTACTAGTTTGACATAGGATATTATTGGCTATTATGTGGGTCAGTTCACTTATTGACCTGATAGGATCAGGACTGACTGAGTGAGATTTCCTTTTGAGTAAATAAAATCCCAATAGTGCAGAAAGGGGCCATTTGGCCCATTAAGTCTGCACTGACCATCCAATGAGCATCCAACCCAAACACAGCTATCTGCCCTATCCCCATAGGCCTACACTTAACATGGCAAATCCATTTAGCCTGCATATCCCCTGACACTACAGCACAATTTAGCCCGGCCAATCCACCTAATATGCACATCTTTGGACTGTGGAGGAAACTGGACCACCTGCAGGAAACCCACACAGATACAAGGAGAATGTGCAAACTCCACACAGATAGTCACACAAGGCTGGAATCAAACCCGGTTCCTGGCGCCATGAGATACCAGTGCTAACCACCGTGCCACCATGCTGTCCCTAATAGCTCTGAAGAGAAATAAAAAGGAACTCATGTCCTTCCCAACATCATCGGCACATGCTAATCATTACAAGATCATTCACCATTCAAGCCTGTTCTACCATTCTCTTCGATCATGGCTGATCTGCAACTCAACTCCATCTACTGTCTGACACCAATATCAATTCACACCCTTATCTTTACACAAAAACGATCAATTTCAGTTTTAAAATTTCAATTAGCTTTGCAATAATAATTTCTGAAGGGAGAGTTTCAGATTTTCACCACAAATTCTGTGAAGATAGCTTGCTTGATGTTGCATCTGAACATGTGCTTGCTTCGGCAGCGCATAAACTAAAATTAGAACGATACAGAGAAGATTAGCATGGCCACTGCACAAGGATAACATGCAAATTCATGAAGCGTTCCCTATTTTGGGGTGGCACGGTGGCTCAGAGGTTAGCACTGCTGCCTCACAGCGCCAGGGACCTGGGTTCAATTCCACCCTCAGGCAACTGTCTGTGTGGAGTTTGCACATTCTCCCTGTGTCTGCGTGGGTTTCCTCCCACAGACCAAGGACGTGTAGGTTAGATGGATTGGCCATGCTAAATTGCCCATAGTGTTCAGGGGTGTGTAGATTAGGGGGATGGGTCTGGGTGGGATGCTCTGAGGATCAGTGTGTACTTGTTGAGCTGAAGGGCCTGCTTCCACACTGTTGAGATTCTATTATTCTATGATCTAACCTTGTTCTGATCTTAATGTTATGGCCCCTCTTGTGATGGCTTGTAGCCCACTGCACAAATTCGGCAAATTATTAAAAACAATCTTCTCCAAGGTCGGATTCACCACATCTTTTAATGACGTAAGGCTAAAATAATTTGTTTTTCCCTTAATTTGTTCATGGGTTGTGGGTGTCAATAGAAAGCCTAGTGTTCAATGCCCAGCCCTAATTGCCCTTCACCTGAGTGGCATCCTAGGCATTTTCAGTAGACAATTTATCATGAGTCTGGAATCATCTGTTACTAGACCAGGTTTGATTTCTTTCCCTCAAGGCCATTATTGAAGCTGCTGGGATTTTACAACAGTTGCTGAAATTCGTAGTCACTCATCCTCATTGCTGAGATGAGCTTTAAATTCCAGCTTTAAATTTATTAATTATTTCAAATGAAACGGTATTAGCCTCCATTCATCCTGGTCACTAGTTTGACACAATTGGATTCGATGGTTCTACATTACTGTGCTGGTCACAAACCAATATTTGTGGAAATGCATCCTTAGTTTCACGAACCAACCGTGTATAATATCCAAGGTACACTTGTGGTGCAGTGGTAGTGTCCATACATCTGAGCCAGGCGGCCCATGCTTGAAGACCCACCTGTTCCAGAGATGTATGGCAGTATCTACTGAACGGGTTGGTTAGAAAATCTAATGTGCTGTCTAATGATAAAACAGCAAATTGCTGCTTTCAATGAATAAACACCATTCACTTTGAAGCAGTGAACAGTCCCCATTTTGAGGTATTATGTCCTGTGTGTTGGCGATAATTATACAGGCCATGAATATGATGATGAACTGCAGAGTTAAAATGATAACTACATCTTAATTGCCCTGTATAAGAACAGAGTGTACCAGACATTTCAAATCAAATTTAAAATCAGATCAATAGTATAAATAGGTTATTTGTGATGCATTGAAATAAGACTCCTTTAAATGATTCATTAGGCATATGTGCTTGTGGGTTTTTTTGAGCTGAAGACTGATAAAATTTGGATAGAAATCAAAGATATTTTGGTACAAAAAGATGCCATTTGACCCTCTGTGCCTGTACTATTGCCAGTTCCTCTCTCTGAACTTGCAAATCTTATTTTCCTGCCCTTCATTTGTAGAAATTTCATTCAATATTTTGCACAAGGTTGGTAGATGTGAGGCAGGAATTAAGAATATCTGCACTTAAAGCCTTCACTCAATCGATGTGTCAATGATACTGAGCCGTTCATCTTTACACCACCAATGAGGCATTCAGCTTATCATATCTGTGCTAGCACCTTGAGCGAGGGGAATCTAAAACTTAAGCCAACCTTCTTTTCTCAATGCCTCACAACTGTCTTTGCTTCAAATATTAATCAAATTTAACTGAATAGAAATGTAGGCTTTCACCTCAGTTGCTGGTGATGCAGCAGTAATGTCGCTAGGCTAACAATCCTGAGATCCAAGCTAATGCTCCGAGGCTATGGATTCAAATCCCACCAGGACAACTGGTGGAATTTAAAGTTAGCCTCTGTATTGATTACTGTAAAGCATGGTAGGTGGTACATTGGTTGAATCTTTATGTCTGATTCAATAAAGCTAGGTTCAGGTCCCATCTAGACCAGAGTTGTGTCATAACATATCTAAACAGATTGACTAAAAATATTAGGTCTACTTGTGACTGCAGACCACAGTGCAATACGGGTGACTCTTCAAAGGCCTTGGGAAATTAGTGATGGGCAACAAATTCTGGCCTTGCCAGTAATGCCCACATTTTATTAAGAGTACAACTCCTTATGTACTTCAAAGACCATCTATATCAAGAAATTTCCCATAACTGAGTGTTGATTTTAAATTGACAAGTTACTGATAACTCATAATTGAATTCCTAACAAGAGAAAATACTATTTCCTGTTTATTATCATAGGACACTTCATAATTTTAAAAATGCTCAACTGAAATTCTCTTTGATCTCTCTGTTCCATTAGAAGCAGCATGGTGGCTCAGTGGTTAGCACTGCTGCCTCCCAGTGCTAGGGACCTGGGCTTAATTCCGCCCTCAGCTGACTGTCTGTGTGGAGTTTGCACATTCTCCCCGTGTCTGCGTGGGTTTCCTCTAGGTGCTCCAGTTTCTTCCCACAGTCCAAAGATGTGCAGGCTAGGTGGACTGGCCATACTAAATTGCCTGTAGTGTTCAGGGATGTGTAGATTAGGTGGGTTATAGGGGGATGGGTTTGGCTGGGTGCTCTGAGGGCTGGTGTGGACTTGTTGGGTCAAAGGGCCTCTTTCCGCACTGTAGGCGTTCTTCTACGACAAGAAATAGACTCACAAGTAGCTTTTGCTAAGTGGCAGTCTCTTCTTGTGATATCGTGGTGAATTTATGTTACATAGTCTCTTAAAGCTGTGAGCAGCTTTCGACAATAGCTTACGCAACATTGCCTTGAGAAATACAAAGAATGTTGGAGAAACTTAGCGGGTCTGGCAGCGTCCGCGGACAGAAAAACAGAATTAATATTTTGAGATTAAAGTCTCTTCTTAGAAAAGATTAGGTGTGGGGAATAAATAAGTAAAATCAATCTTGTTTCATATTTTATTAATAAACCTGGACCACCAAATCTTAACAGTTGACTACAATTTGAAGTTACACAGTCCCTTTAACATGGTAAAATGACCCAAGGTGTCAAGCAAAAATTTACACAGCCAAAGAAAGGAGAAATTGGATCAGATGAACAAAGAGGTCAAAAAAGTAGGTTTTAATTAGTCCCAGAAAAGGAGGAGAGAGAGGCAGAAATGAAAAAAAGGGAACGAATGGGAATTGTAGAATTTAGCACCACAACAACTGCAGAAAGGCCACCAATCATGAAAGGTGTGCAGTAGGACGGAGATCAAGGAACTAATTCTGGAAGACCCTGATATTTGATGCTGTATAAATTCTCAGGAAAAAGAAACAGATTTATGCATTTGCTTATCAGTTCAAATGGCGATGTTTGGAAATAGCTTCCATTTGTGAGTTCACTGAAGTCAATCCTGAGTAAATCACCTCTACTGGCATCTCACTTTAATCAATAGAGACATCAACATCCTCTCATTGTGACAAATGGGACAACCATTTTCTGCTCAAACAGGCTGCCTCAGAGGAAATGAATCTTTGAAATATAGGTTTTGTTAGTGGCAGCAAAAAATCTTAACAGCTAATTATACACCACCTGCAATAATGATCCTTTAGTAACTTCAAGTATTTAAGGAGTCGTCTAACCTATATAATTGTGAAATAGTCAATTTTACCAAGCTGTGGACTGCACAGTTTTAGTGAAAATTGCCGAACAGGCAAGGAGTGAAAGTTGATTAATGGCAAAATGTTTGTAGTGCTGGTAATCCCTGTAATGGTGCAAATGTTGGAATGTCTTGGAGGAGGAAGGAGACGAAAGATGGTATCAAGTGTGGCTATCTGCCTCTGTAAAAATTGACATGGTCTTTAGATTACTTGGAAGATTTGGAAGCTGATCTGAAAGAACCTACATAACTTGCAGAAAGTAAGGTGTGATTGAACCAGGATTGTGGAAGATATCCTGTAGGCGAAGATCCTGGGCATGTTAGTCATTGTCGTAGTTGACGCTTTTGTGGTGACTGAAGAGGACAGTCCTTTGTCTGCAGATTGAGAACAGGAACTCCTGATTTGGAAGGGTTCTCGTTGACTTCTACCGTCTTCACCTTCCTCTAGAATCTTCATGCTATGTTGGTTTCGAATGTTTAGTTTGCTCTCCAGGCTGTTGTGCATCTGCTGTCCCTGTTAGCAGCCTCCTGCTCCCACACATATTGCCCAGCGTCAGTCAGCTCCAACTGGCCTTGGAAATAATTGCAAGGTTCACCTAGTTTACAGCAGCATGGTTTACCATATGGGACTGCTGATGGGATTCCATGTGCCTGCAGAGTGTAATTGCTGCAAGAAAATGCATTCAATGTTGGCCAGATTGGGTCTGTTGGGTACATCCTTGTTTGTGATGCGGTCCTGCCATTTGATGTTCTTGATTAGAACAAAGCCGATAGGATTGATGGGGAGGCCAATCAATTCGAAAATTTAGGGGTAGCCGCCTAGACTGATGGCTGCATTCATAATTCACTTGGGTGAAGTGCTGTTTCCTTTCATCCATCTCCAAACAGCAAGTGTACAATGGGGATGGAAATGCCTGTTACCTTAGGGGAAGTGTTTCATTCTTTGAGGATAAGGTCTTCACTTACGTGCAATGTCAGGCCCTTCAGAAGAGGCATTAGAATTGAAAAGATGCTCACAAAGTACTGGTGAAAAAAAAACCCACCTGCAATCTCAAAATACGCTCTGTGAACCTTGCGCATTGACCCACTGTGTGGAGTTCAAATCCTGGACCCCGCAAGGTCTCAAGCACTTTATATAACATTACAAATTAAACCCACTAATGGCTGTGACACACAAGCTATGTATTGCAACCAGGAAAGATTCAGCCTTATTGCTCTTACAGCCAAGCTGTTAGTCTGCAGCAACCTGTCTAACCCAGGCACACCTCAGCAAACTGAAATCAGTTTGTGAGTCAGACACAGTGTGCCTGCTGTTTCCATTAACATCTGTGATCAACAAAAATAGACAAAATAGAGTCCCTACAGTGTGAAAGCAGGCCATTCAGCCCACACTGTCTGTCTGAAGAGTATCCCACCCA